GGAAAAAGTGTAGCACAAGAAACGATAGAAAAGAGTGAATGAGCGTTTTATCTTTTGCATTTTTTTTTGTTGTTGGAAACAAAAATTGCTTTCTGGGAAGAGAAGAGGTCAGGAAGTGGTTTGTTTAGTGTGCGCATGTAGTTGTGGTTGCTTGTGTCTCTGTGAAACAGAGAGAAAAGAGAGGAGGAAAGGAAAGAGAGAGAGAGAGAGAGAGAGAAATGTCAACTATTTCAGATCGCTGTTAAACCACATTAGGGAAAGTCCAAAATGTTGCAAGAAGATAGATCTAAACAGATAAACATGCCTCCGTGTAAAAGGTTAGAAGAACGTAGACTGGAGAGATAGGACGTAGCACTGACTGAACTGAGTCACTTAAATGTCCAGTGTTCACACTGAATACGTACAGTCATTCATTTGGAAAGTCTGTGGACTGTCCAGCATGACTTTGAACTGTGTTATCAATTTTGAATGTTACTGATTTGAAAGCTTGATACACTCACCAGAGTCCAAGACTCCTGACAGAGATCATGCAGACCAGAGGTTTGAGTTAACGGATCAGACAGCAGCAAATTATTTCTGACGGACCAGTCGGAGAGTAGGTTGCTGCACACCTGACGTCCATCTACTACTTATGTCCTGTTAAGATATATGGAGTATGGAAAAAGCATATCGTAACCTAAAAAAAAAAAAAAAAAAACACGTGAAAATCCAAACTGAACCCACCATAAACGTGAGCCCTGAGCCAGTTTTCTAGAGACAAGGAGGTTGCATCAGGGTGCATGTGAGTGTTTGAGCTAATTAGAGCTCCAGCAACACCAAAGTGTGTGGGTAGGAGCAGTGTCTTCAGTGTGTGTCCTGACGCTGCACTGATGTGGACATTGTTTAATATGATATATTATAATATATTAATAAATTTCACGAAAACCAACCTAACTTCCAACAGACAGACTGAACGGTGGTTATGATGCAGTGAATACAGCCAACTAGTTTACAATCAGCTATGGCATAGTATTAACAGGCTACATCGAGCATCTTTGGGCAGTCTACTATACAGCACTGTAAACAGATTATTCATGTCAAGTTTCATAGATAAGGCATTTGCTATGAATACTGGGCAGTAGTAGTAAAAGTCGTTGGTCAAATAGGTGCATCTGGTATGTGCAGGAAACAAAAGAGCAAAATCAGCAGGGATATTGGACTTTCTGGTGAAATTTCAGGACGAACCTAAAATGCACTATAACCTTTACATGTGAAATCAATTTGAACGTCTCTAAACTTTTGAATGCACATGTTTCAGTACTTTCTGCACAACTTCCTTTTCTCTATCAGGTGTTTGATCCATGAATTGACCAGTAAATTTCCATGTTCAATTAGAATTGGTATTTAAACAGTCCTCCCCCATCATGCTGTTCACATTTTCGTGACACCAAGACAACACCTGACAATTCATCAACAGTACGTCACCATTGTGAGGCTTCAAACAGGATGTTCTCAGACGGAAGTGAGTTTAGAGTGTCACTGAATGTCATCATCAGGTTGCAACAGAGATACAGAGAGACTGGAAGAGTCACAGAAAGGCGTAAAAGTGGACGTCGTCTGGCCACATCCCACACTGATGAACACTTCATTGTGAACAGTGCCCTGCGGATAATCGATGTCACTCAACTCCAAGAATATTTTAAGGATTTGAGAGGCACCTAAGTGTCCCGTCAGACCATTCAAAACCGCTTACATCAGCGTGGTCTGCGTGCTAGACGACCTACAAGGGTTCCTGACCACACCAGACACTGGCGTCATCGTCTTGCATGGGCCAGGGAGCATTTACGCTGGACGAGGGACCAGTGGGCCTCAGTGCTGTTCTCTGATGAAAGTCGATTCACGTTGAGCAATGATGGCCGCCAACAAATTTGGAGGCATCAAGGAGAGCGCTGTGTATCAGCCACTGTTGTCACTCGACAAGCCTTTGGAGGTGGTGGTGAAGTTACAGTGTTGGCAGGTGTGTCTAGTCTACACAGAACTGCCCTACACTGAGTGAATGGTGCAGTGACAAGCCTGTACTGTCTGAATAACATCATTAATCCAGTCATTGTGCCCCTGCATGAACAACACGGGCCTAATTTCATCTTCATAGACGACAATGCTTGATCGAGGCTGCATCATTAGGGAAGCCCAAAGTGTGCTTTTACAAGGCTCCTACATTTTCAGTTTTTCTTGGTGTTGTCAACAATATTCCCCTTTATGTTCAATAAAGGCATCTTTAATCATTAAACTTTAATCTTTATTGAACTCGTAGTAGGTGGTGGCAGTACAGTGTTCCTACTATTTTCCTACGATTTTGTTCCGGACATCTATGCTATTAGGGCGGACAGAATATTTGAAATACAACACCCGTTGTGGAGTTCAACCCTTTTAATATGGTATCCATAACGGAACAATAGGAGAGCCATAATGCTGTTATTAGAAACTGCAGGCAACTGTGTTTTTGTTAACCGCAGCACAACTCCTACAAAATAGTTTCTCTCAACACATTCTCTTTAAAGCTTACACCAGTCAGGTTTGGTGAGTTGGCAAGCACAGCGCTGTTACTGCTGCTACTCTTAATCGAATAGATATTGTTTAGACTGTGGACATAAGGAAACACCATGCAGCTCTTTTAATTGATCATTCTAAGACAGTCAATGCGGTTGATCATGCCTGGCTTCAGTGAAACTTCTTACAGACAGCAGTGTGTGGCTATTGGAAATTGCAACAGGTGTCCCACAAGGTTCAATCCTGGGCCCCATTCTCTTTACTCTTGATATGGATGCCATTTTTTCTTATGTCTCTCAGTGTAATGTGCATCCTTATGCTGATGAGACTATTTTGTACAGTTGTGATGAAACTGTTCACATTACTTGTTGCTGTGTTTTTTTCCGAGCCCTCTCACTCTTATGACCGGATTTCGCTGCAGGTGCCAGTTATTTTTACAGAACTCAGGAAATCCAGTTTTAGTCACTGTGCAGCTGCAGCATGGAAAAAACCTGCAGAACAGTCTGAATGCTTAAATCGTTGTTTTGTCCTTAATTTAGGTTGGTCACTTCAGTGCTGTTTTTGTTTTAGCTGATTCACTTTGTCTTGAAGCTTGACTCCTCGGTTGCATTATTTTTCTTATTATTTTTACCAACATTTTTCATTAGGTTTACTAAATGAATGCCTACATCTTTGGCTGACTTCTGTCCTTGCTCTGCTATACTGCAAATGAAGCCTCTACCTCACTGTTGCTCTTAGTTTAAATAAATATGTATTCATTGTGTGACTGAACTGATGGTTTAAACATTTAAAAATCTTTATAGTGAGCAGTTACAGCCGAGTGACCTAAATCTTTCTCAAGGATCTGCTCAGTTCAGGTTCCCTTTAAGTCGCCTTTTTATCATTTATTTTTTATCAAATGAGAGCACGTTCATTTGTAACTTTTAAGAGACAGATTTTCAGAAAACTCAACATTTTGTTGTTATCTACAATCCACATAACTGGAAATAAACACTTCAGTTTTTTTTTTTTTATATATATATATCCGTCATGCTGATGGTAACTTTATGCCATGGCCTGTTATCTGATTACTGCTCCTTTTAGAGCTGTAGCTGTTGATAGCAGGAAGTACACCTGTCAGAATAATGGAACATTTAGTTTCTCAGAAAAACACTTTGACCTTTATTAAATCACACAAACAGGTGACCGGAGGAAGTGGGCTTTCCCCTGCGAGCGGATATGGAAACTGTGCAAAAAATTGTACTTGTTAAAAGCAAAGTGAGCTTGCTTTGCCTCCAATAGACTTGATGTAGTGAAGAAAAATGTCAAACTTAAACATAGCAGAATTTGGTGCGACCACAGTTTTTTAAGGCACTTGGCAGGTAGATTCGATCTGAACATCTCGGAGAACTCACCAGAATCTGTGGAATCTGGCTGCAGCTGCTTTTTATGAGTCTTGCTGTATGTGTTAGGTTGCTGTCATGCAAATTTAAGTTTGACACTTCACTGAGTGTATTATGTGACATCTAAACATACAAAGGCATTAGACTTTTGCATTGTTTATACTTTATATAGTGCATGTAAACGTTGTTTGCAAATTGCAAAAAAGAAAAAGAGGGGAGCACGGCGGTGCAGTGTGCAGCTCGGAGCTGACCAGAGGCTTTTCTGTGTAGAGTTTGCATGTTGTCTCCTGCACCTGTGTGGGTTTTCACACATAGACAAACTGATGATTTTAGCTTGGTGTGAGCGTTTGTTGTCTGTCTCTGTCCCTGACTTGTGAAATGATCACTGAGACAGGATCTAGCTCCTTCATGACCCACCACAGGTATCGAAAATAGATAGATGAAAGAAAGAAATGGTTAGTTTAACATGAATGCGTTTGTAAAACCTTTCTCCCTATTTCAAAAAGGTACCGTATGGTCTTTGTGCGAAGTGAAGTGTGAAGTAAAGGTTGTAAGTAGGGCTGTGGTTGTTTGTCACTTCGCAGTAGGCTATAATAACCACAAATTCAACCTACCACACACACACATTTTACTTTTCATCCTGTTTTTCACAGAGTTTAAATGTCAGTGGGTTTGAATGTGAAGCAGCCACCGTTCAGTGCATATCAATGGACTGGTTGCCACAAACGGCAAGTATGGGGACAAAAAAGAGCACATAGCGAGCACATATTAAATGACAGACAGTGTGTGTTTGTAGATTTGCACAGTATATAAAACAAACTGGGGAAATGACAGACTGTAGGGAAGTAAAGATATATAAATAATAAACCTGTATGAGGAATAAAAACACTGCCGATATCCAACTGTGTGGGTTTTTTGTCTTTTTCTTTTGAACTGTATCAGCTTCTAGATGTGGAGACAGGTTCACGGCAGGTATTTCTATAAAAATACATCCTTATTTTTCAGTTGAAGGGAGATGTTAGAGGAAACGGCACTAAAGTGTTTTTAGACTAGACACTGCAAAGACTGAGGTAAGGTTGAACGGTCACAGATTAGTCAGGAAGAAGGGGTTGGATTCAAATCGAGAGTGGACGTATAAGATCCGTCCTGATTCGTGGTTGAACTTCTTAGAAGCCACTTTCTGAGAGATCAAAACCATTATCGTCTGTTTTATCTGTTCATGGGGTGTTACTCATATATGAGAGCAAAACGTCACCTCTGAATGCTTTTCCACAGAACATCAGATGAAGTAAAACCAAAGTTAAAGGCAGATCCTGTCCAGCTTTAACAGGTAAGATGCTAATGATCACATTTTGTGCTTCTTTCTAAGTCTTTTAATGTCCAACAAGTCACAGACGGTAAATCACATATAGTTGCGTGTCATCAGGGTATAAAAGAGCAGCAGCAGGCAGGCACCTGCAAACTGTGGGGGGATTTTTAAAAACATTTTAATGAGAAATGGTGTGATGACATTATTGAAAATGTTTCATGGAAGACTGTTCAGTGTAACCACGAGTCATTCAGTTTGAGCTTTACACTCACATCTAAAGAAACGTGTGATTTCGATTATTCATGTGTTGTTGCTGTGCTCGATTTTTTGATGCGAGATGGATCACATCACACTGACATCAGCTACAGCAATGTTGAAGACAAAAAGTCAAAGAATTATGTATGTCAAGGTGTAAAAGATGCAAGAGTACAAGTCACAAAGCAAGATAATCAGTTTCTACTTCATCACCTAATTCCCTCTAACTTTGAATTAAAACCAGAATGATCCACTTTCAAGTTTTCCATAAGCTAACACTGAACCAAAGTAAGTATTGTGACTCATTTTATATGCACAGGTAACGTCTTGATTTGAACAGTATACAGGAACTTGTATCTGCAAATGCGATTCCCACAATGCGAGACCACGAGAGGTCTAGCCGCAAACCTGAGGCAGAAACTGACTGAGCTGCAGTATCAGTTTCTGACTGAGGCATCAGTGTTTTTCCAGCAGTAAAATCACAGCGAAGCACAGTCCATATGTATGTCTCACTTTGACAGCGCTCAGATGACACATCAAGTGGCAAAAATTAACTCTACACAGACGACTTTTGTTTCGAAACCTAACTGTTCTGCTGGTGCCTCAACAATCCCAGATTACTGTTTCAACTGGTTGTCAGAAAATGTCTTCTGCTTAAACACAACATCAACATCTGGTCAGGGTGCTAAAGTCTAATATGGTAAAACATGGGGCTGGGATGTCTTACTCCAGCGTAGGAAGGACTGGTTGGTGCAAACAATGAAACTGCGCTTTCCAGTGTTTAATGGGAACTTGGACGCTACAGGATGCGTACATATGAAAGGGTTACTTTAGGTTGTTTGGAGTGGGTTGTGTGAGGTTTTTTTCCACAGCCAGTTTATTACCTACAGTAGTTTGGAGAAGCAAACAGAAGGACCAAGGTACAAACATTCCTGAATAAAACTTGTGATATATCTATATATTATTTTATTATTTTAAAATTAGTTTGTTTTTTTAAATAATTCTGTTGTACCACGGTTTAAAAGCAAATGTCTGATTTTCATTGGTTAATTTTCATAGAATTTTTGTTTATTATTATTTTTGTCAGATTCAACTTATTTCTGTGACTATTGTGGGTCTTTCTTTCATTAACCGAGGGGTACCAGCAATTTCGTCCATGTGTGTAACTGATTCGGTTCCCTGTCAGAAAGTGCTGTCTTTAAAGTTAAACCAAAACTGATATTGATTTGCGTCGACCTCTTTAAGTGTCTAGAATACAGTATAATATGCTGCTGACCGTATCCACAGCCGTTCATCATTGAGCTTCAATGCTCGTCCTCCCATCTGCTTCTTCAATACGGGGGTGAACTGAATATACTGACTATGGACATGAACCTTGTACATTCCCACAAGAAAAAACAAGTAAGCAACTAACTAAGTGACCTTTTAAAGGGGTTAAATTGTTCATTCTTGTTATTCATTCGTGTTTCTGATTGCCTGAGTGATAGATCAGAAGGTGGGTCTCTGGACAGGCCATTCAGGTTTGCAGCCTTTTGTGATGTCACAACCTGCTGCAAACTTAAGATTGTTTCGTTACACATATTGAAGCCAACTTCAACCATTCTGACTTCCATAAGTAAACTTGGCACCTTGCTATGGTCAGTGATGCTGCCTATTGTCACAGATGAAACAGGTTTAAAAAACCAACCCACCAAAAAAACCTGCAGAACCTGCTTTTCACCTGGTGTTCCTGTTTGTTAGTCTTTAAACTCAGCAGCTTTTGAGCAGGATGCAGGATTCCAGCTGAATGAGTCAGTAAAATAAATGATAGAAGACACAATAAAGAACATAAGGTTAAATGTGACGCTGATGTTGGCCTTTTAAAGCTTACTGAATTTGGAATTTCCTTCTGAAGCATCACATCATCACCAGATCCACTCTGGATATTGAGCTCATTTTTGCAAATCTAGCTAGCAGCACATTTAAACAGGTGGAACCACAGCCTACAAACTGGTTCTATTTTGGCTATTTTCTGTCACCTGTTGCTGACACACCTTGTTGTTGCTCTACTTGTGGTCAGGGGTATGTACGTGTGACGCTTGATGCAGAAATAATAAATAAACTGTGTCAAATAGGACAAAGTGACAAACAGGAGCAACACATAATGTGTCACATTTCTGCTGCTTGCTAACTGTGGTGTGTTTTTATTTGCACAGGATGAGAAGAAGAAGACTGTCCTGAAACAACAAGTCCACCAAAACCTCCAGTTCTCACCCAGCTTTAGATACCAACCATCCTGATGGTTTGAGATTCTCCAAAACGAGGAGTAGTGAGGACAGGATAAATGGAGACCAAGAAGAGGAATCCTCTCCTGTTCGTCCTGCTTCATTTTCTTCAAGTCTGCGCCTTTGCAAGTTCTGAGTGTCCCAGCCTTCCACAACAGAGTTAGTGATTTGGATTGACTCCCAAAATAATGAGGAAAACCTGCTGTGTCATCTCTTTTATTTACGCTCATCTCTCTGGTTTCTCACAGATCTCACTTGTTACAACGACTACAGTAAGAACATCACGTGTTTGTGGAACAGCACAAACATGTCCGATGACACCAACAGTGTTTGCACAATAAACGCCAAAAACAA